AGGAGGAAAAACCAACAAGCAAAGGCCTAAACATTGTTTAGAGCACAGGCTTTCAAATCAAAGAAAATCATGGATGGAGTTGTTTTAAATTTTATTACAGAGCAATCTTTCAAAATTCCAGAAAATGCTCATATCTGGAGAGAGCAGTAGGTTACTGCATCATCTCTTACATAGGAAGTAGATAGATAGCAAAGACTAGACGAACTTACAGTAGAAATAACAGTCATGGTTAAAGTCTGGGTGGCAGAATTAAAATGATCTTTTTTTTTTTTTTTAATTTTACTGTAGCTTTCCAATTTCCTGTTCTGATCTGTTCTTATTCCCCCAAATAGTGTCCCAATTATCACACAAGCAATCTAAAAGGAAGTTGCTCATAGAATTTGAGGACAATCCCACGGTTGCCATATGAGAAAAATGGGGAAAGGCACATGATGTCATGAGAATACTGCTACAAGGTGGAGGGCGGGGTAGCCTACAAAATACCTGTGGCTAGAAGCAGAAAAGGGTAGGAAGTGTCCCTGAGAACAAGCCAACACAGAGAAGCAGTGGAGGGGAGGGAGTGCCTAAAGAAGAAAAAGAGAACAGAAAAAAGAGGAACAGATCAGCTCGGGTCCAAAAAATGATAAGAGGAAAAGAGAAAATTAACAGAAGAGGAGTGTGGTTAGTATTGTGTCAACTTGGCCGGGCCAGAAATTCAGTGACTTGGCATTGAAGACCTAGTAATCACCAATAATATGACCCAACACAATGTAATCAACTCCATAATGGGATCGGGTGCTGTGAGCAGTCAAGCAGTCCTATTAGATAAGGGTGGAATCCAAACTCCTCACATCAAGGTCACAACCATGATGCAATTAAAAGGTTTCCTCAGATGTGGCCTGCTTCTAATGAAGTAGAAGCTGTGAAAAGTTTCTAAGCTTTTCGATAGGTCTGACTCATCAACCAAGTTCTTTGGATTGGAGCCAATGCCTACCATTGTGTCTGCTGATCACAGTTGTCAACAGCCTACCATGTAATCAGCCAGATTTCGATTCATTCACCTTTGCAGTCACCAGCCTGTGGTCTTCCTGCTGATCTTAGGTTCATCTGTCCCCACAGCTAAGTGAGCCAAGAGACGCTTCCAGCCTAACATCTGATCCACAGACTTGGGAGTCTGCCTGTCAGACTTGGACTTGCCCACTTCTACCACTGTGTGAGGCCATTTCCTGGATATAAATTCCACTCCATGTATAAATATATCTAAAGAGTTACTTTGTTTTGCTTCTCTAGTGAACCCAGTCTAGGACATTAGGAGAAAGATGAATGCTTGTCTATGGGAAGAAAAGGGTGATGAAAACAAAAAAAAGCAAGAGGAATAATCAAAGGAGATTACCTATGTTGGTATATTCCCAAGAGTTTACTATTTTCTTTTATCTTACAGGTGAGCACAAATGAGTTTTCTAACAACCGCTGAAGATAAAGCAGGTGAATAAGCAAATGTGAAGAAATCTGATGGTGCC